GATAAGCATCCAAGCCAACTACTTCATGTCTACTCATCACTTCTGTTTTTGGCTATATAACTACTAAGTGGTAAGAACAGCAATGACGTGTCTTCACCTTTAAGCAGTGTAGTTCATTCTCTTCCTCCAAGTGATGAGCTTCTACAGACAGACAGCGTTCTAAGGGTAGGTAGAAGGTCACACTTAATGTTACACAGGCCTGTATAAAATGCAGTCCATGTGCTCAAACAGCTAACCAGGGTGCCAACTGGTGAAGCGCAGATTGCATATACAGGATCCTTACTGTTTGGTGGCCAATAAAAAAGAACCCCAGCAATGCAGGCCCCAAACTTCACTTTGAACCACAGGTTTTTATTTAATAGCCAACGTGCTTGAAAATATGGATTGCCCTAACCTTTATTATATTGGATTAATAAAATGAGCCTAATTGTACTTGGTTTTTGTGAGAAATTGGCAAAAAAGCATTCGGGAGTGTCCATTCTCACACTCAGACCTTTTAAAAGTATTCAATGAACAACAATTTTACATCTGAGACAATAAAATTATTCATGTTAGAATTCCAGAACTATGAGAACTGTAACATGGTCCATTTGCCATCCCCTCTCATTCAGATATGCTCAGCAAATCGTAGAAAGATGATACTGAAGATGAGCTCCACCCTGTCACGGCCTGATATACCAGCTCCAAAGCTTGAGGCTCATCTGTGCATAGGAAGCCATTGTCGTCATCTGCTCTGTCTCTCTATGTCTCCACACCTTGGCCAGTTACATTGAGAGAAGAAACTGAACTCTATTCACGTATGAATTCACGAAAACATTGAAGTGTAGCAGAAATATATTAAAAAAGGCACTGACTGTGAAATCAAACAGACCTGGGAGTGAGTGCTGGCTGGCTCTACCTTTGCAGAGATATTCAGCCCTAAAACTGTCTGTTTATCTGGGAGCTGAAGATCACAACTGCTGTTCCCTAGAGCAGATCTGAGGCACAAGGTTCTCAGCCAGTGTGGGCTCTTGGTGTAAGGGTTCCTTTTCCTGTATCTCTTCTTCCTCCTCCATTCAAATTTGTACTTGATTAGAAACTATACTTGAGAATTGATGAGCTTAATAGAAACTCTGTCTCAAGAATCTCATTTCTCTAAAGAAACAACTTAAGACTCATTGCTCTCATCATCAAGTCAGCATCTTGCAATTCTCCCATCAACCCTGTTCCTGGTGACAAGGATGAACCCTGTAACCTTTCTCCTTTGGAAACTGGAGCAATGTTAAGCTTGCATACTTCTTATATTCTGGAGTACAGATGCTCAGGCACCTCTATGCCTTTTGCTGTGTTCCCTTCAGCGCAGTTTGGAACTCAAGTCAAACAAGAGAGGCAACTTCCACAAGGGTGTGTTCTGTTCCAGTCCCAAAAATAGGCCCTTCTCCCAGTCTCTGACATTACTGAAGTCTCCAGTGTTCTTTTTCTATTATTGGCCAATTCTCCCTTACTCCTATGCTTTTAATAGTAATAATCATCCATATTAAATTTGACCTGCTTTTTCACCTTCTTAGTCTCCTCCTATTACCCAAGATAATAACAAAGTTAACACTGTACTCAGAAAATGGTTATAACGGGGAAGAAAAGGTGACAAAATTCACTGTCGAGACCACATACGCATGCCAAGAATATGACTTCAATCGTTTTAGAAGGTGACAGAGGCATACCGCCACGGGACTCAGACGAGGAGAGGTTGTGCAGGCACACTAAGTGCTCTGTCTAATGTCTTGTTCTGAGGTAGACTCTACCCTACAGTCACAGTCACTGGGTGTGTCTGCTTGTCTGGGATCCACATGGTTTCCGCTCTTGGCTCATGCTCCCAGCACAGATCCTAATATGGAAAGTTCCTGAACTACAGGGAGAGCTGGAAATGGGCCACCACCCTTCAGCTCCCTCATTCCTCACTACAAGCTGTCCTTGGTCTGCAGAAATCTGCTCAGTCACGAGCCCTTAGGCCCAAATAAAAAGGCAGGTCTAATATCTGCTGCCATGACCTCTGAGAAAATAGCTGTCAAAATGAAAAAGACATTCTTGGCTCTCTGGCCCAGGAGGTCTCTTGTGACCAAAGAGAAGAGAATGCTTGGCTCAGTCCTACAGAAACATTTTAATTAAGAAAGCAGTATGAACAGCACTGCTGCCACCTCCTCCATCTGGCCTTGAAACAAAAACCTTTATATTTCAGTGCATGTCACTAATTCAGCACAGGTTCCCATTTGCCCCCATTGCGTCCTGCTCGTTCTGCAGAAGATGCAGGGGATAGGGACTGTGCCCTGCCCTGGCTTGGTCAAAGGATCTGAATGATACATGTGGTGGGCATCCAGGTCTCATTTTTCAAATGGTGGAAAAGAATCCTCTTAAGAGAAACAGTGAGGCTGAGGCCACACATAATTTGGCAAAGGACTGCTCAAACCCTGCCTTCCCAACTGGCACATATTTCCTGACCAAGAGATTTAATTCTGGTGCCAACCTCAGCTTCACAGATTGACCCATAGAAAATTATCCATTTGCATTACATTGATATTTTTCCAGAAAAAAAAAAATGGTAGTTTCCTGTGTTTCTTTTGTTTTAGGGTTTTTTTTTTTCTTACTTTCCTTTTTCTATCTAAGTTAAGGAAATAACAAAGAAACTAAGAGTAAGCAGCAGCCATAGCTGTCCAAGATCCATTCTGAAAATTGTCATCATCAGACCACTATCATGTGGTGCACAAAGCTTAGAGTACATATGAACTAAACGATACAAGTCAGTCAAGAGACACAGTTAGCACAAGATGTACGGCGCTGTTGCAGCCAGGACATGGCCTACTGTTTTATACTAAAATGTTTTCACAAGTAGAAGACACTCTAAAATAATAATAAACATACAGTATACCAAATACACAAGAGAGTAGCGTAATTATTTGTCATTATCAAGTATAGTGCTCTATTTTATAAAGTGCACCAGCATTATCACAAACACAGGAGCAGTGCATTGTGCAATGACTATGTCACCAGAGGGCAGCAGGAATTTTGCAGCCCCACGATAACAGTATAAGACCACCACCGACTGCATGATCCATCACTGGCTGAAACTCTGCAGTAGGGAGGATGGCTTCCTTGTATAGTTCCAATCACTCCAACAGCTTGCACGGCATTGTAGCAAGTATCATTCCGCTATGTGGGACATGTGAGCGTGTGTTTAAACACCAGAACCAATTTTCATAAAACCAAATGACCATAGTTGACTGCAAGAATAATTTCTCAGAGGAACAATGGCATGAAGTCAGCCTTCTGGGTGCAAACATAAGACAGCACATGGTCTCCAGTGGCGTCAACTAGGTAGAACAAGACAGCGCTCAGTCTGCACACATGTAAACAAGCAGCGCAGACACACACTTCTATTACCACCTCTAAACTCCAGGAGCCAGGCAAGAACCAGCAAGATCTTGTCTGGTTCTTCTGACACCCTGTTCTCAGAATATTGATGCAATAAGGGGCTCCTCTCTGACCCTGTGTCCAGGCGTCTGGACCTCTACATCAATGTCTACGTTTCACATTGTACTATTTTTTAGTTTGCTCGGGTGTTCGCCTTCTCTTCTACACTTCTGAAGAGACCACCATTTAAAAACAAAATACAGTATATAATATAATATAAATATGTTAATGAAATTAACATATATCATTATAAAAAATTCATAGCCTTTAAAAAGAAATAAAGCTGAGATAGAGATATTTTCTATGAAATTTCTGAGCTATGGGAGAAATTAGAATGTTTCATAAAGACAGGGCATTGCCTAGCATTAGCATTGGCCAGAGAGCTGCTTTGAGCATCCCTTGAAAGTGTGACGCCAGAATGAAACCCTTGAGCAGAGCTTCAGACAGACAGAGCAACTGCAACAAACCATAATTAAATATCTAGATAGCTAGCATTCCATCATAGGAGCTTAGGTGTTTAGCAAATACCCCTCCTAAAGGACATTTTAAAGTTAAAAATAGTAAGTTTGTAAATACTACAGGGGGAGCACTGAGGGCTGTGTAGCCACTGGGCTAAGTGACCAGTGGCAGGTACCCAAGAGACTTGCTGTGAAATCTCACACAAGTCACAAGGGAAAGAAATCTAGTTCTCTTGAAAGTCCATTGGCCCAAAAATAACTCACTGGTCCTACTATCACACAGCATATCTAAGTTACCACTAATATTTTAAGTTTGGAGTTTGTCATTCATGGAGCAGGATCTTCTGTATTTGAGGATAAAATCAAATTGTTCCTGCGTCCTTGGAAAATGACCCTTCAAGCTGCCCGCAGGCTCACAGCCCACCTGGAGACAAGAAAAACACCCAGGAAAATATAGCATAATCATTTACAAAGAAACAAGATAAGAAAGTCCCCAACAGAAGAGAATTGTTTTAATGCAATTATAATAGGAGGCCTTCCAGTAATGATACTAGAGAAGCTATACAATATATTAAAAGGTAAGCGAACAGAACTACTCTTGTGGCCTTCTCATCTCACGTTATTCTCCATAGGGCCACCTTAAAGCTCATGGTCCATTTGAAAGACATCACTCACCAAAACGACATAGGAGGTCAGTTTGCATGTGCCTCTCTGAACTCTCTCTTCAGTATCAGATGCATCAAGTAAAATGGATTCAATTCATTCCCAATGTTTTCCTGGAACTATGTTCCCTTAGCTGACCTGAAATTGTCCTTTCTGTAATTGTCCTCAAATTTTGATATTAAAGTTAGTGAGCTCATTGCATTAGTGATTCTAGGTAACCCTCCCTTCCTCCAGAGCATTCTCGAAGCTAACTGCTCAGCAAATCCACACATAACAGCAAGAGTGACAAAGTAATGTCAGGACACAATGAAGTGGAAAGAATAGAAAGGATGTTATGTAACCCAACAAATAGAGAAAATCCACTACACATATAAAGATTTCTTCCTCATACAGTGTATTGTATGGCTTATAAAAATGTTACGTGTTTTAACTTACCTTTTGAATGACCTCATTAATCTCTGGAGAGTTTGGTGTATACAGTATTTTTCCATGCAACACAGGTTTTAGAAAAGACCATACCAGTGCACCATTTGGAGACTGTAGAATTTCCTGATAGAGCTTCAGACAAAATGGTGCTGCCACAATTAAAAGAAGGTTAAAATTATTAGGTGATCTGGGTTGATATAAAATGTCCAGTGATATTGGAACTGAAATACACTTCCATTAGGCCTTAATTTTCAATGAAATGACTCAGATATATTTTCATGACGTAACCCGGAAGCGGAGCAAGCTGGCAATATTTTCCTGTCCCTGACTTAGCAGTCTTGTCCCCTAGGAAACATCAAGACCCCACCATCCAGGCTATTGTCTGCAATAGTGATGGCTCAGACCCTTAAGAATGAGATTGGGGATTACTTTCCACATAGTTTTAATCAAGAAAATTCTTACTCTACTAATCATAATATTGAGAATAAACAGTCCATTTTCTTGCGAAGTTGGCCCTAGATTCCCTTTGATGATTCGTACAAAACTATCATGATCAATACTTTCAGTATATTAAATCATACAATGCTGATTCAAACCATTTCCTGTGGTGGCTCTTACTGTAAAGCTAATTGATTGCAATAACAAGTCTACTTAAGTTGTTTAAATGCATTGCTAATCACTGTAATGATTGGCAATCAAGTATTACAACATTTATTAAAAACTATGATTACATCAGCATAACCAGTTCTTTTACCCAAAAAGTGAGCCTTGAAAAAGCAGTGTTATCTTGTCCTTATGTCATGACTCTGTTTGGATCATTGCATTAATTTCTTCTTTCCAAAATATCATGAACAGAAAAAAATCTTTTCATCACAAATACAATAAAATTGATAAAATAATACCCTAAAATATAAGCTAACCATATAAATACATACTAATCCTTGCATCCCTGACTGGAGAGTTTATTCTATGTTTAATAACTTGCTCTTTAAATTACAAGCTTGATAGAGATGGGAGAAATTCTCATCTTAGGAATAATCACTGTATGCATAGAGCAAGAGACTTGAATCCAAGAATCATCAGTGATTTGTGAACTGAGCAAACTCAGATAAGTAATCTAATGTTCTCTGAACTTCTGACATGCCCTTTGGAAAATGAGGCTTGCATTGTTGTGTAATGGTTTCTGTGACAACCATTTAGAAAAAATAATATATAGAAAAGGATCAACAAAGATTGGCCCTCAATTAACCAACTGACTGGATAGATGAATGAATGAGATGATGGATGAATGGATGGATGGGGGTGGTAGATGAGTGGATGGATGGATGGGTGGATGGATGGATGGATGGATGAATGGATGGATGGATGGATGGATGGATGGATGGATGAGAGGATATATGGAGGAGGGATGATCAGTCAAGATTCCCAAATGCAAAACAAAATGAAACTAGTATTAGAGAAAGAAGAAACAAAATTTGTTAAAGTTAAATAACCCTGATATATGTCTTCACTACCAAATTACCTCAATATTTGACAGTCATACAAATTATTCATCAGCTATGGAATACACTGGCCTACTGCCAGATGGTTCTTAATGTTGTCATCAACATTGTTTGCCCTAGGGTATTAAAGGGGTTGGGGTTTCAGGTGGGTAAAGTGTTTTAGATTCAGTTTTTGGAGACACAGCTAAGAAGATTAGCCTGTGATCAAGGGCCCTGGGAGAGTCTACAAGGAACTATTATGCCAGGACTCAGTGAGTGCTGAAAATGAAGGAGAAAACGCAAGGCCAGAATGTGCCAACAGAGGTCAGCCCAGGAAGAACACTATTGCCATGCTCACCCAGTTGTTACCGTACAAACAAACATACCCATATTCAGGCGGCTCTTACTTGAATCATGAGGAATATTGAACTTCTCTTTGTCATCCTCCAAGAGTTCATTAACTCTGGGTAAATTAACAAACATGTTGGAGTTGCTGAGGAAAGACTCCTGGTTCTTACAGAGAAGCTTCATCACAGACTGGAAAGAGGAGAAAGCTGAACTTCTGCCTTGGCCATTCTGGGAAACCTGAGCACAAGAAAAGCAACTGCCAGTTACTTATGACTTCAAACTGTTTTCTCAGATGGAAGCATAGTTCCATCTTTGACTGAACATACAGGAGAAACAATAGACACTGCTTGAATCTGTCCTCTTCTTGAGAAACCATTACAATGATTTTTCTCTGGAAAATATGTGATTGAAGGGGAAAATTACACACACATACACATATTCACACAAACATATTTGCACACTCACATTAACACAAACACATTCACACAGTAAAACACACGTTTATATACTCACACATTCACATACATTCATGCACTCTCTCACCCACAAACACTCATACACACATTCATGTATGCATTCACACTCTCACACTCAAGAACACATACACACATCTAAACATATACTCACACATTTGCATTTATACACGTACCTCGTTACACATACTCACTCCCAAACACGTTTGCACACAGTTGTAAGCTCTCACATTCACATACCTATTTAATGAATGACCAGTAGTCATTCATTAAATAATATGACTCTATTAAATAAGTTAATAGTCGTAGCATGTGTTCACACTGCTAAGCTAATACTGATTCCTGACAGCTACCCAAATTAGCCAGTGGATGAGTACATGCACATACTGTTGGCAACGATTCTGGGCACATCATTATCTGGCCCCTCCTGCATTTCTAACTGACCTTACCCATCCCTGGCTGGTTCCATCCCAGGCAGAAGAACTTCAAGCAAAGCTAACATCAAACCACTAACCTAATTCAAGTCTGTGTTTGCATTAGGCGAAAATGATCTGTAATTTGTAAGCCAATTATTTATATGTAAATAAATGTTCTAAGGTTCTTGAAAGCAATTTGCTCTCAGAATTAAGTTAAACAGGCCCTTGAAATCTCATCTGTGCTAATAATTGACTTTGAAGATTTTTATTTCACAGACAAAGCATGAACTATCTCAGCTTCCTCACTGGTGGGACACAGATCCACAGCACTTTTCATGAAGGTTCTGGGGCAATGCCAGGCCCTCCTGTCATGCTGTTAGCTCCAATGTCATTAAGTGTCCTTGTCCATATACATTGTGGTCCAATAAAATTATAGCTGTTGGGAGAGAAACAAAAGGTAAAGAGAACAAACACAAAGAGAACAAACTAAAACATTTCCCCATCTTGGGGAGATCAAACACACCTGTTGGAAGTCTGGCATGTCCAGCAAGGTAGTGATTTTAAATGTGTGAAGAAACTCGGGGAGGTATTCAAGGGCATGCTGGGCTCTGACAAGGATGGAGCTGAGGCTGGAAATGACATCCAACAGGGACTTGAGCAAGCCGTTTGCTTCAGAAGGTATCAGAGTCTTACAGAACCAAAAAAAGGAAAAAAAATGAAATAATCAATACTGTTTCCACTCTCAAAAGTATCTCTTGAGGAGTGAAATCTTGATCTCTTGATTTTATTCTTTCTTACCTCAAAGGCATATTTGTTACACTCTATAAAAATTCTGCATTGTGGTAGACATAACTGTGTTTTGCAGAGCACATTAAATTATAGCAGTATTGTTAAATTGTAAACTAGAAACGAATTGTTAGAATTTGAATCGCTTTCAAAATATTTCTCTACATTTTTTTTAGATGACTAAGGTAGAAATTTGAAAAAGGGCTCAACATTAAACAGTGTTTTTCTGTGACTCATGGGGACTCTCCCCCACAGTGCTCCTAGCACCCTGAGGTGGTGCATGGGCAAATTGAAAACCAGGAAAATGAAAGGCTTCCTGGAGTGAACCAGTAAGAAAAGTTCAGAGCTTCAAACTAGACCAGTGGAAGTGTGCTTTGAAACCTACTTGTGCTCAGGTCATTTTGACACCCTACACGGCTTGCCCGTTGTCTGTATAACCCCAGTTACAGAATGTAAAGCTGCAATAATTCAGAATCTTTTCTGCCTTGCTCACTTATGTACAAGGTGAAGCTAGAACAACATCTCAGTATTGGTTCTACAATGAGTATGTTTTGGCTGGCTGAGATAGTTTAGCAGGCAGCCCATGATCCACAGGTGGGAAACATCAGAGGGATTCTCCTCCCTCTGCAGCACATCAGTTCTCCAAATGGGGCCAAGAAGTCCAATGATCATTGCTTCTTAATTTTGTTCTCTGGGGTTCTGGCCAGCTCTACAGTTCATATTTGCCAATGCGCTCTGCTAATGATGCCCTTCTTAGCACACTGAGAAAGCAGAGACTGCAGGAGCAGGAGAAAGAATGCAGCTTTTGTCAGTGGCCCCCATGCCCCTTTCTACTTAGAGCTGCCATCTAGAAGTGACACCTCGAGGACCCTGATTTGTGGTAGGAAGTGAGTGAGATTCCAGCATGTTAATCCAGCAGAGCCTACTTCACCAAAGGCTTCCGGGATTCCCTATCAGCAAGTGAGTCAGAAAGTACCTGTGACCTGAAGCTGTACTTGAATCTCAGCAGCAGTCCATGTGCCTGTGACTCGCAGAACACTCTCCCATCTCCAAGTGTTGTCACATATGAGAAACCTCTCATATATTTGTGCGTAAGGAAGGTGCCTAATAAAGGGCACTGTTGTTATTAATGGCAGTGTCACCTTTGCTGTGTCCCTGGAGACAGGATCCAATCTAATATCTTGTTCTCCAAAGAAATCTTGTTAGAGATGATGGCCCTTGTCTAAGTACTTATTTGGCCCTTAGAAACATTGAGAGGCTTTTGTGGGCACAGTAGATGAGGCATTAAAGTGGACTAATGGACAGACTGGTATCTATCCCCTCCAAGATATAAGATGAAGTTGGAAGAGGGGCCTATGATGAACAAACGGAGGGCTAACTAAGCTCCTTGTCATGTCAGCTGGAAGTGTCCAAAAAATTTACACCAACACAATGGAGGCAAATTCAAAATGTTTATCCTCCTCAAGACTTTAAAGTACACTTATCCTAAAGAGAAAAAAAAAAGGTTATTGTTGAAGACTGTGTATGGATGGATGTAGGGGTGTGCTGTGGGTTGTAACGAACATTTGCTGGAGGTTTCCTAGACTGACAGAAGGGAAGGAAACCTGAAGGCTGAAAAAGCAAGTATACTCTTTACTTTATCAAGACTGTTCTGATCATGGAGCAGCAGCCACCCCGGCCCTGCCCTGCTGCAGATCTGGACCTTTCTGCTTCCTGATGGTGGAGGGGACACCTCCTTGGGAGAAAACAGTAGAACTCCGAGGAGGATGTGGGCAAGGGCAGGGACAGAGGGTGGTGGGAATTTAAGTAAAGGTTTATGTGTGGAAATAAGGAAGATCTTTTAGGGTGGTTGAGGATAAGAAGCAAGGCTGGGCATTGGTTCTGGGGTGTTGGAGGCTGAGACAGCTCCACTCATTTCCCACCTGTATTTCTTCTCTGAGGATGTTACCAAAATGATCTTTCAGGCCTTCCCTGCTTTGTGGAGGAAGGAGTGCTGTAGGGAAGGTAAGGAGCAGAAACACGCAGGAGCAAGAAGCTGCTGTATTGCCCTTTCCTCTTCACCTTCCTACAGCTGCCCTGTATAACTGGATCATCCAACACACAGGATGGAAGCCACAGATCCAGTTGATGGCGATGGTGAGTGCCACAACATGGTATGGACAGCATGGGCCTTGGCAGCTTAGGAACAATGAGGTTCAACCCTGCTTCCCCAGACACTTAGGATGCTCTCTTAGCAAGGAAGGAAATATGACTGGGACTGGCAACATTTTCTTCTGGTGACCCCTCCTCACTACCATGCTGTGCCCAGAGCCTCAATGGCCCTGACCCCATAGACACAATATAAGATCTTCTAGACTTTTCTTTTGACAAGATCCGACTGAGATGCCATCCCCAGAGTTAGCCATCAGGTGATCTGACCATAAGGAAACTGAGGCTGCCACAGAATTCCTCATTGTTGATCCATGTTGCAGCTAGTATAGAAGGCCAAGGTCCACCCCTAGATTTAAACAATCTGGAGGTCAAAAATATTTTATGTATACATAATTCACATGTGCAGATACTTCTTTTGTCAGTATTCAAAAGGGAATGCGGCATACAAATATTTATGTAGCTTTTAGTAGCTCCTAGGTAGTATATATGATGCAGAGAAGTTAAAGCATAAGTAAAGGGTGCTGCTTGGTTTTTGTCAACTGGGCACATCCCTAGGCATCTGTGGGAAGCGAAACCAAAACTGAAAAGCAACACTCCATCAGATTGGTATGTAGGTAAGTCTTGGGAGTTTTTTCTTAAGTAGTTATTGGTGTGTGAGGGCCCAGCTAGCACTGTGTGCAGTGCTACTTCTGGGCTAGTTGTCCTAAGTGTTCTAAATAAAGAAGGCTGAGCAAACCATGGGGAGCAAGCCAGTAAGCAGCACTCCTCCATGGCTTCTGCTTCTGCTTCAGTTCCTGCCTTGACTTCCTTCAGTGATGGATTATGACGTGAAAATGTAAGGGGAAATAAACCCTGCCCTCCCTAAGTTGCTCCTGGTCACGGCACTGACCGCAGCAACAGAATCCTGAGATGGAAGTTAACACACGGGTTCTATACCTCACACCCTTTTATGCAAAGCACCAAGCTCCCCTGGGATTGGAGTCTGAGGATGCAGACAACTGTACATCCAGAGCCAGCATGGAGTTAGCACAGTCACCAGAGCAGCTCCCCTGCAGCGCCCCTGATAGGTGCAGTCCTCACTTTGTAAACGAAGTTCCTCAGGTTCAGGTTCCGGCCCATCACCACAAGCAGGGAGAACACTTGAGACCCTGGCAGGCTGCAGAGTTCCTTCATGGCAAACCAGGACTTTTCACTCTCCGGAAACGTCAGCAGGAGGTGAAGAGTTTCGTCGTCACACTTTCCAGACAAAGCTACTGTGAGGACACTGGAGAGGACCTGTTGTGAAATACGTGGGTCAGACAGAAGCAAGTGGCATGTGCTTTGCCCCCATAACTCTGCTTTCTCAAGAAAAGTACAAATACCTGGACACTCAGTGTGCTGAAGACTCATCACAGACCCCAGGCCTCTGTTAGCTTTCCATTCCTGTGACAAGACGTCCCAGGCAAACACCCATAAGGAAGAAAGGTTAATTTGGCCTCATGGCTACAGAGGTCTTGCTCTATAGTCTGCCATCCTATAGTCAAGCATAGCATCTTGGTGGGATGCTACTGGTGGAACCAAGATACTCACCTAATGGTGATCAGGAAACAAGGAGGAAGAAAGCAAAGCTGAGGGTCCCAATTTCCCTACTAAGGATATAAAGATCACAGTCCCTAACCTCTTCCAACTAGGAGCCACTTCCTGAAGGAACCAAATATTTACAACATAGGCCTTTGGGGGGATAACCTAGATCAGTCCACAGCAGGGCCCAATTCTCTATTTTCAGCATTTTGAATGGAAATGTCTTTGAATTTGCAAGTCATTCTCTGTCTGCAGCTTCCCTTTGCTTGAGCACTCCAGCAATAGCACTGGTGTAGAACTTCTTATCCCCCTCTCTGCAGGGCTCTGCAGAGCATTCTCCAGCTCTGCTCGTGCCCCTGAGGTTGCCTGTTCCAACAGCACTTGCGACTTGTCTGTTGGTGCTGTTTCGCTGCCCTTTGCTTTTAGTTTGCTAAATCTTTCACGTTTCGCTCTTAGCATGTAGGAAACTATTGCTTCTTAAACCAATTTTCACCTCCCATTCTTCTATATTTAAAAGGGGCTTCCAAGCTTTTCATAGTTTCCTTTAAAAAATAAAAGCATGTAACCTTGTGAGGAGGCACTGGAGACAGAGTGTGTCTGCTTATGCTCCATTGGTATTCTATGACACGTTCAAGGACTAGGGTGCCTCTTCACTGGAGATCATCTTTCAGTTACTGACTTTGTAAGGAAAAATTGCAAAGAAAATAAAACACAAGCAACGAGACAGCTTATTGCATGTTTATAGCTTTCATGGTAGATTGCTATGAAATATCCTAGCCAACTGAGACCCATTGATAAAAGGTGGTGTCAGAATAGAAGGTTTGAGTCAAAGAGGACTACTGGGTGCTTCCATGTGCCACAAAGTCATTAAAAGGCAATACAGTATATCAGTCAGAGATCCCCAAAGATACTAAAAATAAGAGGAAGACAGACAAAGAGAGACAGAGACAGAGAACTTCATCTAAAAATTAAGGAAAACCTGGATTAATTGCTGAAAAGATGGCTAGCCAGATAAGGCACTTGCTGTGAAAACAAGAAGAATCGAGTTTGGATACCCAGCTCAAAGCAAAACATAGCCGTGGCAGCCTGGTTATAACCACAGCACTGGAGACCTCCAGACAAGACATCCTTGGAGCAAGCTGGTTAGCCAGGCTATGTGAATCAGCAAGCTATGGATTCAAGTGAGAGATGTTACCTCAGTATAGAAGGTAGAGAATGATGCCAATGTTACCCTCTGGCCTCCATATGCACCTGAACCCATAACACACACACTCTCACACACACACATGCATATTCACCTGCAAACATACAAGCAAGAAGACAAAAGAAGGGCAAGACTTATCCTGTGGGGAAATGTTAAAACAATCCTGGCCAAAGACTGAGACCCCCAAGGAGGAGGTAGTGCTGCAGCTCAAGTTTAAAGACCACTGAAGGCTGCACTCTCTCTTGGTCAGGAGACCTCAGTAGTTTTTCCCTTAAGGTCCTGAATGACTTAGATGAGGCCTGCCATCTCAAGGAAAGAAACCACCTTAAATGAAATCTGGTTGTTTAATATTATTCCCACCCAAAAAAGAAAAACTACCAGCCTGACAAGGATTTTAGAATAATGACATCTTCACATGTAACTAAACAGATTACATACATACATAGTAGTGGAGCAGAAACATTTCCTTCTACCTGATTCCAGATGTGCTTTGGCAGTTCCCAGGGATCCTTGAGGTGTGGTGTGGGCACCAACCTACTTTTCATTGCCGCATTTGCTAAGTTTTCTAAACCTGGCTTCAGGATAGAACTTAGATGAAAATGGAGGCACATCCAAACACAAGCCTGCAACCCCAAGGAGCTGCTCCCAGCTCTGGGTGGACAGGAACCCAGGCTGGACCCAGAAATGTCCTCCCACACTTGCCAAGAACCTCTGTTTCCACCTCTCTTCAAGATGTCATTCAATGGATCCAGGTCTTACACTTGAGGATTATTTCTTAGAACTTGTGTGAGGGTAAAATTGTTTATCTTGAAATTCTTGGGACCTCACATACCAAATAAAGAAGATTCCTCCAAGAGCCTCATAACACACCCAAAGGCACCATCCAATAGGTTTATTAATACCCCTTTGTGTGGTTTTTCATTTTTTGCAACTTATCTTGTAAAAATATTACTATGTTTTTCTTATTGGAAAGATTCCTGAATCAAGTAGCACAGGAGAGGAATAGAAAACTAAGGAAACACTGTTTCTAGGTTAGTAACGTGCTGTTTCCATTCAGAGTGCCACAGGCAGCTCAAGCTTTGCACACATCCATACCTTGGACTCTGAGAGATAAAGATGCTGTTTTTCCCACATGTTTCCTCTGTGTCTATGTTTCACTTGGAAATCTTCAGGGAAAACAAGAACCTGGGGAGTTGTTTCCCCACTCTTTACATGTATGCTCAGTCACATGGACATTTCTTTGATTTAAAACTAGTGATGATCCCCTCAAGAGGCACTCACCATTTTTAGCAAGAGCTCACACAGGGTGGCCATGAGTCAAAGAGCTTGTACATGGAGCACATGGCCTCAAAGAGCTTGCACCTATAGGATGTGGGTTGAAGAGCTGGCAGACAGGGGACATGGTTGGAGAGCTTGCACACAGAAGACATGGGTCGGAAAACTTCACACTGGTCACATGGGTCAAAAAGGGTTCACAGTGGAAGATCTTGCACACAGTGGTAATGGGTTGACGACAGGGCTGAGGGTATGGGTAAGCCAAATACCCAACTAATGATTGTATACACTGAGGTGGAGATAAATGGTGAGCAGGGCAGGAGAAGCTCTGCTCGCTCTTTGAATGCACAGCAAGGAAATACTGATAACAATAAAGTCACAAGGGATATATGAGAACAGTGACTCAGTAGGTTTGAAAGCTAAGAAAGCAAAATCAGGTCATATGGAGCAAATGGATCTCACATAATTTAGTGAGCATTGCTCTGCTCTGTGGCTGTGGCTGAGCTCAGATCTACTGACATAATAAAAAGCCAAAGAGAAGAGAGAAGTGGGAGAGAGAAGCAGAGAGCCATGGGATCTGAGCCCCAGGTTGAAGTCAGTGAAGCCAATGTTAGAGGGGATCGGATCTAAGCTCATACTGCATGACTTGAAAGATACTTGATTCCCATCTAAAAGCTCCATGTAAACATTTTCATGTCCTCACAATAGTAATAAGAAGACTCAACACCTCCAAAGTTGGTTACGAAAATTGCAAATGTAAGGCTCTGAAAAATGGGGGACAGATATGTATGTGTTTAATAATAGTCCTTAGGGTGTGTTTTCAATGATCAGCCAAAATGCACCTTTCACTGGGGTACATCAGGAAAATGAGAATAGAAACTAGATAGAATCATTAATTGAAAAAGACATTAATGTTCAAGACAGCCAGAGGGAGGAAGGGAGAGGGGGGAGAGTGAAGAGGGAGAGGAAGAAATGGGGAGAAAAGGAGAGGAGCTAATCAATTTGTTCTGTTTTAATATTCCTGAACAGAACCATCTCATAGTGAAAAGGCATCACTGGGCTCCCTGCCCACTGGGACAGGCTGCTCCAGAGCAGTGCTGCATGAAATAGGTTGATACTGCCCAGGAAAAGGCAGAAGGGGAGTGAAGCCTCAGGTAGAAGCTTGGGCTAGATGAGCTTCAGACTCTAGGGCATTTTCGTAGTCTGGGATGTTGGGTTTTAATGAGATGATGCTGATGTATAAAAAAGGAGTCCATAGATAAAGTAACTGCCATATGAACCCTGGCAAGGAAGAGAAAGGATCTTGACCCATCAGCCCTTACCTCCTTAACCTTGCCCTTGACTCATTCAGCATTTTGATATCTTGATTGCTCTGGTTCACAGTATGCAGGCTCCATCTCCAATGCCTCCTACTCAGGCAGGCTTCCTGTGACTGCCTGTCCCCACCATTGTGTTAACATGCATGTCACAGGACTTCCTATTGTCCTTTTTACACTGTCAGCATCTCATATTTAATGAGCCGTCCTCACAGAAGGTTGGCTTCAGATAGCAATGCCTTTAATGCATGCCATGCAAGAACCATGCTTGATGCATGGGAAGATCTTGAATGCACGACAGGAAGAGCAAGCAAAGGTTTCTGAAACTTCCAAAAGGAACCTGCACTGCAAAATTATCTTATAGGTCACCCACAGCTTGAAATGAGTCCAGTGTGATGAATTTGTAAACAGACTAACATGACTATGGGGAAGAAAATCAGAGACAAACAAAAGGAGATGGGACTACAAACAAGAAATAGCCATCACCTTGATACTCTAGAAGAAAACAGAGTTCAAAGTGTCACCTGCTAAACCGCTGTGGATATGTGTATACAATAAAGTAAAGAGGGTCATGTGTTTGAACAATGAAAATGCATTTGTTTAGTCTCCGACCAACTACCTATGGATCTATCTACTTAGGTGACCATAGCGGTTTACAAAGATGCAGTGAAACATACACGGATGCGGTGGGGGGAAGTTACTGCAGAAACATCTGCACTGTAATTGTCCCTGTGTAACCCACTAGCTCGCTGCACAGCTCCCTCTCACCATAGAACACCAGCAACACCTGGTGGCTGCCTGCTTCTAAGCAGGCAGCAAGGCAGAAAATTGCTCAAACCAAAGTGGAACTTAAAACGTGGACCTTGAAAAAAAATGAGTTTATCAGTAATGCTTCTCTCCAGGCAACCCTGGGCTGCTGCTCAAATATTCCAGCCACTGCTTTGATTCCTGTTAGAGGTTCCACTCTGTAGCATTCAAGCCACAGCATTCACTATTTGCTCTGAAGTTTGCCTACTTGGGAAAAAAAAAATGTTTCCACTGCTTCACTCTCTGCAAAGCTCCCCTCCTCCTTATCCCCACATTTCCGTGGGCATGTTGTATCTAATGAGATACAATTGAATTTTTATTGACAATAGATACACCCTTTCTTGTGATAAGTAACTTTGTGATACTATAGTTCGCATTTCAGATCCCTGGCTTTTCATCTATTTCATTCTTAATTTAGATTAACCATTAATGAGTCTACTTACTAAGCTCACATTGAGCCCCAATTAGTCAGAATTAACATGAAAGTAAATTTATATCGGAGCCTGTGTGATTGTCAATTGAAGCATTCATGCATAAGCTGGTTTCTTGACTCTTCAGAGGAAGGTAACCACACATACCCCTAGAGGTACAGAACGATTGTCTCAGAAAACCACAAGCTAAACATTCAGGTGGCATTTGCTGTGGCCAACATGGTAGCCATCTTCTTCCCTTCCTGCTGATAAGTAACATCATTTCAGCAAGTAAAGATATAAGGAACACATGATGTAATGTTTTAAACTACTTTTTTCCCCTTTTTTTTAATTTAATTTTTTAAAACTTTATTGGGGGACAGGACCTCCACAAGGAGAGCAGCAGAACCAAAGAATCTGGGCACAGGGGTCTTTTCTTAGACTGATACTCCAAACAAGGACCCTGCAAGGAGATAACCTAGAACCCCTGCTCTGATGTAGCCCAATGGCAGCTCAGTGTCCAAATGGGTTCCCTGGTGGTAGAAGCAGGGATTGTCTCTGACATGGACTTAGTGGCCTGCTCTTTGATCATCTCCCCCTGGCGGAGGGGGTGGGGGCAGCCTTACCAGGCCACAGAGGAAGCAATGCAGCCAGTCCTGATGAAAATTGATAGGCTAGGGTCAAAGGGAAGGGGAGGAAGATCTCCCCTATTAGTGGATTTGGGGAGGGGAATGGGAGGAGATGAAGGAGGAAGAGGGATTGGGAGGGGATGAGAGAGGGGATGAGAGAGGGGACTACAAGGTGAATAAACTGTAATTAATAAAAAATAAATTAATAAAAATAAAAAAAATTATTCCGTTTACATCCTGATTGTAGCCCCCTCTCTTCTCCTTCCTGTCTCACTCTCTTCTGCCTTTTTCCCATCCACCTCCCCTAATCTACTGAAAGGGGGAGTTCTCCTCCCCTACTATCTGATTCTAGCCTATCAAGTTTCATCAGGACAGCCTGCATCCTCTTTCTCTACAGCCTGGAACCAGGACTAAGTGACCAAAGAACAGGCAACACCTGTTCCCTTTTCTAGGGCACCCACATGGAGACTGAGCAGGGGACCTAGGTCTTCTCCACATGTGGTCCTTGGTTGGTGCATCAGTCTCTCAAGGCCTCCCTGAGTCCATATTTGTTGACTCTATTAGTCTCCTTGTGGCACTCCTGTCCCCTCCAGATCCTTCTATCTTCCCATTCTTCCATAAGACTACCTGCACTCTGCCTAAAGTTTGGCTATCTGTCTCAGCTTCTGCTTTGATCCCTTGCTGGGTGGAGTTTTTCAGAGGACATGTATGTTAGGCTCCTGTCCTATTCCCTCTCTTCAACTGCTAATGATGTCTATACTATTCGTTCTTCTGAATGAGAATTAAACATCATCCCTAGGGTCCTCCTTGTAACTTGGCTTCTTTAGGTCTGTGGATTGTAGTATGGTTATCCTGTATTACATGGCTAATATCCAATTATGTGAGTATATACCATGCGTTCTGGTTCTGGGTTACCTCACTAAGGATGATCTTTACTAGTTCCATACATTTGCCTGCAAATTTCATTATTTTTCCTTGTTTTTAATATCTGAGTACTATTCCATTGTGTAAATGTACCACAATTTCTGTATCCATTTTCGGTTGGGAGGCATCTAGGCTGTTTCCAGATTCTGGCTATTACAGATAAAGCTGCTATGAACATAGCTGAGCAAATGTCCTTGTTGTATGGTGCAGAATCTTTCAAGGTTGGTTGTTTAGTTGGCTTGTTTTGATTTAATTTTATTTTCAAGACATGGTTTTTCTATGTAGCCATAGCTGTCCTGGACTCACTTTGTAGACCAGGCTGGCTTTGAACTCACAGAGATCTGCCTGCCTCTGCCTTTCAAGTGCTGGGATTATATAAGCTACTCTTTCTTTAACTTCCCTACCCAACATTTCTCAGCCATAATAGGGAAGCCCAAGCCTGTCACTGTTCTGTTATGAGTTACATCGATACCACATAACCAGAGAACCCCTCCATCATGGTAAATTACATATTTTTAACTAGCTATTTTTAGCTAGCTACTTGATATTTATGACACATATGGAACCATACAAAACCTTAATAGACTTCATGCATCAGAATTAGAAATCAGTAAAATAAATGTTGCCAGCAATCTTATTCTTTCTGTCCCATATGAAAGCATTGTTCCCACGTATATCACAAGATGCTGACATCCCCCCGTTTCCTGCTTGCTCACATGTGTCCCTCTGATTTCAGCTACATGATTTGTGCAGACCTCCATTTCCCAGCTATGGAAGGAGAAGGAAGGGCCAGAAAAAGGTGGTCAGGTCACTTGCAGCCATGAGTCGTCCCTCAAGATGAATACATCCCTGTACCTTCGAATGGGAAATGTTAGCTTCTAAGATGCTGTGGATGGTTTCCTCTGAGATGTGGAAGGAGGATCGAAGGTCCTTAGTTAATTTGGTGACATTCTTCATCAAATCCTTTATTTTTATATCTGAAGAATACACAAAAGGAAAAGAAAGTTTATAAAAAGTTTTCCAAATTTGTATTGATTTAAAACAAAATTTGATTTTTGTCACCTAAATAAGAAGTTTCCATCATGCTATCCAACTTATAATAGATACTAAATAAAGTTTCATCTTACTGTTTCGGGGGGAGTGGTATGAGATCATTTCTTGTTTAAGTAAATAAAAATCTCTGGTGATGTGGTAACATCTAGTCAATGGCTGGCTCGGTGACAATATGCCATAGGGACCTCATCTTTCTTAAACAAGAAAATTACCACCTAAGGCGTGTGAGAATTCTTCACACTTCTCATATTGTCCTGAGTTTTAGGAGCTGTGTGGATGGAACAGAAACTCATAGGGTCAAGGGGTTTCTGAAAAGACAGAGTGAGAAATTCAGACAATTCAAGATGTTCTTCTGTCCTCTGCCTGACTTTTGGAACCTCAGGATCTTGGGAGTTTCCTTGTGAAGCCTGAACTAGCTACATTCTAAAATATCTGTTTGGTTTTTGGTTTTTAGACAACATATAGCGCAATTCTTGCTTTTTGTGGTTTCTTTTAATGTGTTAGAATAAAATACTCCATTTCATTTTTACTTAGCTTTTTACGCTGGAATGTAACCACATCATTTCTCCTCTCTCCTCCCTCCTAACCCTCTTATGTACCACACTGCCTCTCAAACTCAAGGCCTCCTCTTCTCTAAGAGTACAGCACATCTTTCTTTTTCATGTTTTGTTTTAATAATATGTTGGACAGAATCAACAAATGTAAATTTTAACCAAGGAAGTTGAGAAACCACATACCGTCTGTGACTGTGAAATTGCTTAGAAATGTCATAACAGGAATCTTTGACATCCAAGTCTCCTCAAGACTTTTGGTCAACCTAAGGTGACAGAAAACCAAAATGAGGCAAGATAAAACACCAGAAGCAATGTTGGAATGAATAACCTTGTATCAGTTCCAGCAGCCGAGCTGGATAACACAGGTTCTCTCTGATAAATGGACATACTCTGTCCTCTGATACCATCAGTGAGTGGATTTCCTCAACACCAGGTTTTCAATGTGTCCTCCCTCAGTCCGGCCCAGCAAACGAATCAGGATGATAGCAACAAGATGCATGGTAAATGGTTTCTCATAGATGTAGAAAACAGATCAAATAGACTATGGTGTATCTGAGAAATTAATGCAGCCACGGGTAATATAAGCAAACATCTTCCTGAAGACTGAGAATACTAGGGAGGCTGCAAGAGTGAGTTACACACCTGTGCATGTGCTGCTGAACTATTCCCACCAAGGGCTGGCACGTGCAACCATGGTCAGAAGCATTTTCCAACTTGCTTTTGAAGCCTTCTAAAGCACTGGAAAGACTCCTGCTAAGATCTTCACAGTCCAGCTGATTCGGGGAGGACCATATCTTTCCAATTTCCTAGAAAACACAGCAGTGACAGAAATCACAGTATTTACCTGCACGAGTCTGAGGCTGGTTTGCAGGCAAATGCAGGCCTCTGGTCATTTTCTGAAGTGTCAGAGAACACTCCCGTTTCCTCCGTGCATGTGAAGCAATAGAGCAGGGCTAAGCCACTTGCTCTGTGATTCAGGACAGAAAACAAACCATACCAGGGCACTTAGGTTCCCAGAGCCCAGTTCCTCTGGGTCACCCAGAGTTCAATAGATTAAAAAAAAAAAAAGCCAACATAAAAGATAAATGGCAACAACCTCAAAACATATTGAAAGAAACAGCATGAAGAGCAGATGTGTGAGGTCTACATTCTCAATCACAGAAATACAAATAAATCCTGAAGAGAGATCATCATCTCAAATCTTCTAAGTTGTCTATTGTTTAAAAGACAAGGAAATGACGCGTAAAAAACTGGGAGAAAATCCTTTGTATGGCGGTGGTGGAAATGTAAAGTAGCACCACCATTAAAGAAGACGACGTATGAGTTCCTTGAAACTGCCATACAAGCCCAGGCATCACTCCTTAGGTCTACACCTAATGGAACGGAAACCAGGTATGAGAGACACATCTGGACATTCATGCTCATTGCAGCATCATTCAGAATGAGCAAGATGTGGAAGTGACCTGAAGGTCCACTGAGAGATGAACTGATAAGGACCAAAACCTTACACATACTATAAAATACTGTTCAGCCGTGTAAAAGAAGGAAATCTTGCCATTTGCATAGCACATATGAACCTAGAAGAAATGCTAAGTCAAATAAGTCAATCAAAAAAACAACAAAACAAAAAACAAACAAACAAAACCCCTGCACTTAGACCAGGGAGATGAAGCCTGAGATATCAGCAGAGTGAACCCACAGGGCCTGGGTGGGAACAATGGCAAGAGCACACTACTGCTCCTGCTGGAGTAGGAAAGGACACTCAGCTTCTCCCCACACTTGGATTTCCACTGTTGTGATTTCCACTGTTGACACATCTTCACAGATGCAGCCTCCTTCCCCTCCCCCACCACTACTTTCCAAATGGCTGCACAGACCCAGCTATTTCCTGAATGTTCCCATGGGAGCAGGAAGGAAATGAATGGCAGCGATGGCAGGCACACCCCTGCCAGACTGAGGTGGCGAGGCTGCATCTGTCCATTTCTAACATGTTTTTGTTTTTCCGTACGCTGTGCTCTTTCTGCTCCTGCGAACGAGGCTCTCACCTAGACATTTCACAGACCTGATGCTCCCCTTCCTCCGCAGAGGTCTCTTCACACAGCACGCTGTGCTGAGACAAAGACAGTAGGTACAGTGAGCACTGGCTTACCTGCCGACCCACTTCTGAGAATACAGAAGTCACCTCATCTCTTGAAGTCTCTGCCCATGGTATGCTCCCTCCTACGATTCCCAGCTCCTCATTAGTGAGACTCACATATATCACTAATGTTATTCTTACATTTAACAAAATAATAACTTTGGCATAGAGATAATTACAAAGAAATAAAGTACCCTGCCCTCTGCAGTAGCAGGAATTGATAAAAGAAAAAAATTCAACGTCCTTGAACATAGGTGGACCAGGCTGCAGTTAAGAAGTATCCAACATAAAGACTCACACATGACCCTGTTAGTATACAGCCTTGAGATCATGAAGACCCATCACATGTAAAAAGGCAGCACAGAAGCCCTCCTTCTCTGAATGAAGCAGGCCTGCATCATTCAGGCGCAAGGCAGATGAGCAGACACTGTTGGGTCCAAAGGACTAGACATGAGGATGTATTCAGAAGCTCCCGAGTCAGCCTGACATTCCAACCACATTCTCTGGTTCTATCAACCCAGAAGTTCTATCAGCCACTCTGTGGCACGAATGTCTTTTGAAACCTAATTTCAGGTTCCTACTGATTCCAAGGTTCCTACTGCTGCTGGGAACACAGTGTCGGAGAGGATGGAGTTGGCACTCTGAGCTCTCCTCATCTGCATCGGTGAGTGGAGCCCCATGCTGGAACTAAGCAAGCTGCACAGTGAAATATTTAGACATTAAACAGCTAAACATAGCATCGGGCCCTTTCCTACCTCCTCCCGACACAGAGAAACCTTCTTATGTCACATGGATAAGATTTACATTTCTGAAAATCTCACACACTATATACTCTGTGACCAAGGCTCTTTGGGGAAAGGGATGCTGGTCTGTGGGACCCCACTTGGCCACTGATTCCACAAGATCCCATTCACTCCAAGAAAACAGCATCTTTCAGACATAAGAAAACTGGTGCATGTATGAACTCACAAAGACTGCAACAGAATGCATACAACCTACACACGTTCAAACCAGACAAAATTCCTGCACTGAAAGAGGAAGTGAATACAATGTCCCATCCCTAACAAAGAGACTATTTGCAACTGGTACATGCTGGGAAAAGAAAAATCAGTTTTCTCCAGCAGAGTGCCACAAAATGTTACAAACCATACTCCAGGGCAGGACCTAGGTCCAGGAGTAGTTGAGTTTTTGTTTGTTTAGATCGTCATTTTGAGAGGGATGATGGAGATGTAAGAGGAAAAATCATGAAACTGGTTGAGTGAGGAGGTGAGAAGAATCTGGGAGGTATGAGGAGATGAAAGAATATTATTAAAATACACTGTATTAAAAATTAAATAAAAATTATTTGGAGTGAGAGACAGTCAAGAGAGGTTAGTGGGGTGAATATGATAAAGTATATTATATACATGTATGAAATATCATAATGAAATTCATTTTTACAAATAATTAAATGTGCTAATAAAAATAAAGAAATAAAAAATGACCTTTCCAAAGCACAGATGATAGATAGGTGATAACCAATAAATTGATGGATGGATCAATGGATGGGTAAGTGGGTGGATGGATGAACAGATGGACAGATGGATATACATGGATGGATAGACAATAATAGATGAAATGGATGGATAGATCTATAATAGAAAGACAGACAGAGATGATAAGATAGAGACAGACCGTTAGATGAACAGACAGACAATCTGTTTGAGAGCACTTGCCCATCCCCATGGCTTAAACACCCTACTTCCTTAAAGCACAGTGTCATTGAACACAGAGCTAGGAAGCTCAGCTCAGTAGCAAGCACCACACAGATAACACAAATGCAAATGGTCTCAAGACAGAGGTAGTAAAATCTATCAAAACTAGGAAGTTAGGTGTTTCAACTATTTGTTACTTCTAATTTTAACAACATTTTTTTAATCATGTGTCTATAATTTGAGTTTTAATGATACAAATGATTAGCCACCACTTGTAAAACCACTAAGACTTTACCAAGCAATTCTCATAGCTGAGTGCCAGCTAAGCTGTGCACACTGTGAGGTCTGCTGATCTCTCTTCCATCATGAACACACTGCAGAGTCCCTCTGGTTCTCAAGGCCAAGCTGCAGCTACGGAGTAACCACACTACCTTACCTCGTCCAACACCACTGCCTTGTTTGAGCCAACTGTGATGAAAGCAAATGTTCTGAAACATAAAAGAAGACGAACCTGGTAGTGGTGGTGAAGCAACGTGACTCCTTGCACAGCAGATAAGATAAGGTGCCTCATTCCACCTCGCTGGCAGCTCAGTGTAGCACACAGAATGTCCTTCGTCAGGGAAGGGTTTTCTGTTAGAAGAAATGAATAGACAGTTCTCTCTTGACCAGCCCAGTCCCAGAAAATTATTCTTCAGAGATTCAAAATGATCCAAATTCCTAGACATTTCTTAAATCATCAAAATGGACAGGCAGGTAAGGGTAAAACTGCACCTTTTTAAACACTTTGGTTTTTAATATTTACTAGCCATTGCACATTTTAGTAGAGTACAATGCCTTTCTATACACATACCCAGATAATACAAAATAAACGAATTAGGTTATTTGGCTGTTGTGGTTTGCATGGGAATGGCCCCATAGACTCACATGTTGGAATGTTTAGTTCCCAGTTGGTGGAACTACTTGGGAAAGGTTGGGAAATATGGCCTTGTTGAAGGTGTGTCACTTGGGGTGGGCTTTTAGGCTTCAAAAGTCCGTATCATTCCCAGACAGCTTTCTCTGCATTGTGGCTAAGTCTCAGGACATCAGTGCTCAGCTCCTTACTGTTCCACTGCCATGCGTGCTGCCATGCTCCCTGCTATGATGGTCATAGATTTAACCCTCTGAAACTGTAAGCCTCAAGTAAACTCTTTTAGAAGTTGCCTTGGTAAAGGTCTTATCACAACAATAGAAGAATAACTGAGATATTACTACCTATTACTTCTGGTATTATCATCTCGTGGTACCGGGGACATTCAGAATCCTCTCATGTAACTGTTCTGGAATATTCAACTGGCTGAGGTAGCTTCTGGAATGATCCAGTAACAGAAACCCCACTGGGCTTTAGAATAATGCAAGTTGTTCCTTGTATCCAACTGCATCTCTATCCCAGATAGACATCCTGGTCCCACAGCCTCTGATCCCCACTTTTCTACTGCCGACTTCACATATATTCAGTGTTTAGGGTTCAATGTCTGGCTTCATCAGTTAGCGCAATGTCCAGTATCTCTATCCACATTTGTGCAAATGACAGAAACTCATTCTTTTAAAGACTAAATTCCTTATCATGTATATATATATATTACATTCTCTTTTATTCATGAAGGCTATGCCTTTTAGTCTAAAGTGTAAATAAAGACTTATCTGAGATAAATCACTTGAATATAAATCAACTTATAACCTCTGCCTTCCCAAAACAGCCTCTCTTGCTTTGTTCCTCTATATGGAATTCCCACTCATTGGCCCTTTTTCTCACACCCTCTCTAGGAAAAATACCCATTCACTCCGGTTTGCATAGGTGTCTTACCTATTAGCCTAGCATGGTTATAATCATTTTACTCTTGCTTTCTCAGAATATTCTTGTGGACGAATTAATTAGGTTTGTTGGCTTCCCTGTGCTCCACACTTCACTAGTAACCTCTGGAAGCATCCTTGACATCCCCCTGCCTCAATCTTTACACTTCCACTCTACTTCCTAATAGCTCTAGATTCTGTATCTCTGTCCAGTATCCCATCTGGTCACATCCAGAAGATTACCAGATTCCTAACAGGTCCTGTCCACTGACCTTTGTCATTTATCTTTAGACTTGAGATCAAAAAGAGCTGGTCAGTTACGAACATCTGGAAAAGTTCCATGCTGTGCTCCAGGTTCTTCTCCAGCCACTGGCCACCTCTACCTCCTGAGTACTCATAATCTCTGTTCCTCATGCTCCCACCATCACCCTGTGCCTTCTTCAGGGGACTTCTGTCTCCTCTCTAACTAGCTACCTCTAAGGACTCAGCCATAGACCTTTCCTTTCCTTCCCTGGCCATCTAGGGCCCTGTGAGCTCATCAACTTGCACACTTCCCACTTTCAGAGTCTTACCTCTGCTTTCAGGTATGCTTGGCATTCGGCACATAGCTAAGTACCTTCTAGATACTGGGTCATTATAGAAAACAGAGTATATTTTTATGAATAACTAATCATCAATTTTTCAAATGGCAAAAAATAATCCTTGCAAATATTTTTTTTAAATATTTTTAATCTGGACAGTATACCAAGAGAAGAAATCTGAACTGAATAGGCTCCTCTCTATCCCAGTGTGGTGGTGCACACCTGCAATCCTAGCATCTAGAAGGCTGAGGCAGGAGGATCACATATTGGGGCCAGCCTTACCTACATAAGCAGATACAAAAAAGAAAGAAAATAAAAAGAAGGAGGGGAAGGGAACTAGGGGAGCTGTGTGAGCCTTGGCTATCTCTCTATGATGACATGGACTCAGGGTGGCCTTGCTCTGCATTTCTTCAAAGTTAGATTACGACAGTATGTATATGAGATGAGGTGCCAGGCTTCGGGCCACCTGGCCTCTTTCTGCCCCCATTGTCCATTCAACCCTCAATGCATCACCACAAGAACATCTAACAACAGTCTGGACACTAACCACAACTTGGCTAGCACCTGGCCCTCTGCCCTCCAAGGTGCCCTCTTCCTCCTCCTCTCTTTTCTTCAAAGCCTCACTTCAGTTTCTTCTGCCTGAGCTTGTATCTCTTCTGACCTTGAAGACACAATAGATATCTGCCCTGGCTTTCCCAGTTTACCACTTCCTTCTATATCTCCATACTGTTTCCCCAAGGCTTATAGTCTTAACCCATATCTTTAGCTGGGGAAGGAATCTGACTTGTTCCTGTGTGTGTTGGTCCACACAGGAGGCCAGGTAGATGTTGTGTGTCTTTTTCCCTTCTCCATCTTTTGTTTTTCCTGAGACAAAGGCTTTCACTGAACTAGCTGGCTGATTGACTAGTTACTCCCAAAAAGCTCTGGAGATCCACCTATCTCTGCCTCCTCCCCACACTAGGATTACAAACATGGTTCACTGCAACCAACTTTCACATAAATGCTGGAGATCTGAGTTTAGGTCCTCATGCTTGCCCTTCCCAAACAGACCTTTCTCCACCTCTGACCTTGAACTCTTTTTTCCAAGCATGACTCATGTCCACTGTCCCTCAGGTCATTAGTTGGTGACACAAGAACATTAAATTGAATGGCCACCAACAGTTTTTTTTTCTTCCTCTGACCTTGAAGACACATTATATATTTACCCTGGCTTTCCAGTTCTGACACCTCCCTCTACATCTCCACACTGTTTCTCCAAGCCCTATAATCTTCTGATATGATCCCTGCTCTCATATTTAGCACCAGAAGGAATTTTTAAAAATGACACTGAACCCAAGTTCGTGTGAGCAATGACATTAACAATGCCAATGGCCGTTGTGCTCATTTTTACACTGTTTAATTTGGGGTTCCTTAAAGCCTCTCCCACCCAAACCCCCAGACTTAGGTAGGAGAGAGAAAGTTAATGGGGAGAGGGGCACAGACCCTTTACTTCTCCCAGATGTGTAGGGTCGATGGGTCCTTAGGGGCTATACCAATCTCCATCAACAGCAAACCCAGCAAGCAGTCTTCCCCAAGGCGCTGCGCCACAAAGTGTCTCTCCAAACTGCTACACACCATCTGTCTCTGGTCTTTCCAAATGGCCACATGCCACACCTCACCCTGTCTCTCCCCAGGCTCTCATATTTATATCCCACAAAGTCCTAGACCACGCCCCTCTCCTGCTGTGGCAGTCAGGCCTTTACCAGCTGGCAAAGACCACGCCCCTGCTGGAGGCAATCATCAGCTGTGGACAAACTAAAGCCCAAACTAAAATCCCACGCTTGGGATTAAAATAAAAACACACTTACACAACATAATTGAGTTTTTAAAGAAACCACAACTTCCATCACTTACAGCGAGGCACCTTGTGTGATGGATGAGCTATCTGCCTGCCCAGGTCCACTGCACCTCCTATTTCACTGAGAACCTTCCAGTTCAATACTGGTCTCCTACTTTACACAACAGGCTCTTCTCTAATTAGGGAAGTGAGGCATCACCTTCAACAACGGCCATGCCTGAGTGAAATGTAAAAACTAAAAATTGATTTTCTAATGCCATTTCATGTACATTATACTAACTTAGCATCTGTGACACAGAATAGCAAGGTACATAGAAATCCAGGTACTGATAAGTGTTTCTTTCATTGAAAATTCATTACTTTATCCAACTGTGAAATATCAAAATAATTGCATCTTCAAACCTGGCTGAATTTTGCATGCCAGAAAGAGAAGAAGCAGAAAGAGATTTGATTTAATGTTCCCGGGCATGTCTTCACATGGTGAGATTTTATTGAGCGGCATGCTCTGTGCTTCCATATGTAATACTCGGTGTTCAGCAATACAGTCCATGTTCATAGACAGCTCCAGTTGGAGATAGAAATTTAGGTCAAAAGACAGAGATATAGATCTCCCTTACATAGCAGATTTTAGGCTTCAGTTACATCATCTATGATCACTTGGGCTTTCTGTTCCTCACTTTTTTATGTTTCAACCCAAAAGATTAGCCAGTTCCTGCATTCAAAGAAACATTCCTATTCCAAGACAGAGGGCAGTTAGCAGACCAGAGCTAGTTCTTCCCATATCTCCAGAGAGCCAACTCTTAGTAACCTGAGGGCTGTCCCACCTTCAGCCTGCCCAAGAACCTGGGAAGAAGAGCCAGAGTGTGTGCACCACAAACATGTCCCCAGCAAGGTCCCAGGGAGATCACGTGTGTTTACACCCTCCTCCTTTGAAACAGATGTCAGCTCACCTTCTTTGATGTTCAATAGAAACTGTGTTGCCTGCCCTGTGCCTGTCAGCTGGCATGAAGCTCTGAACTCAGCCTATTTGTTATCAAGCTCTCTCTCCTTCCAGTACAGCAGTTGTCATGATGTCACTGAACAAAGCCAACTTTAAATCTATACCTGCAAACACTCTGACCAATAATGTCACATGGTACATGGAGCTATATTGCCTTTGCTTCCCAATGAAGCAGCCTGGCCCCTATGTGCCTATCCCACAGCCAGCACTCACTTAATGATCCACTCAGTCTATTTATAGACATCAGTTGAATGTGTAATGTGCCTGTGTCAGGGTTCTTCTAGATACCAGGAAACACATCAGTTAATAACCTATAGACCCATCTCTTCAGCCTTCACATTTCATCTGGCATGCCTCCATTTGGGTTTTATTTCCCATTGTGTTCTCTCTTCTACCCTTCATTCTCACCTACACTATCCTCCTTCAGCTAATACCCCTGATTGGTATCAGAATTTGCATTATTTTATGAGTTTGCACTTAAAAAAATATTAGAGAGCTGGTTCCTGCATGTGTCTCATTTCTCCTTTCCTGCACTTGTAGATAGATGCTCTACCATGTACCTGGATTCTAGTCATGGCCACCCACACAGGCCAGTCAGTCCAGGCTAGTGACCCTTCCTCACTGATGGTGGACCTTTGTGTGTGTTCATAGTCTCCTGTCTGGGTGAGCTAGATTCCTCTTCAGGTGGTCTTCCCCAACCCTATAGCCTATTGACCTACATCAAATAATAGCCCAGAGTAGGCAGGCGGCCCTGCCAGTGCCTCTTTAGCTAAGTGTTACCACACAGACTGAATGTATAGGAGGACTCATGGACAGCAACACCCTACACAAAGAAATCATTGAACACGTAAGAATCTCGTGGATGGAAACATGAGTGTCTGAGGGCTCCTGGCATCTCTTCAGGCATTCATTCATCCAATGAGAGACTACACAGCCAGCATCTTAGGTTCTTTTCACACAATCAAGGAAAACACATTCACAACAGCACACAGGCTGAGCATCATGGTACAAAACAGTAATGCCAGCATTTGGGAAGCTGAGGATAGAGGATTGTGTTAATTAATGAGAAATCTAGCATATACTAGTCATTAATCTCATAATAATGAGATTCAAGCATCAAAGCAGAAGCTTGGTCCGCTACATGATTCTAGATGGAAAAAGTCAAAGAAACCTTCCCAAAGAGAAAATAACATTTGTTTTAAGAGCAACACTAAAGTAGAATAGCTGACTAATAGTAAGATTCTAATAATATATCAGGAGAGGTAGAAGAGTGTGTACATGAACTGGAGCAATGGTGACAGGGCCAGCTTGAGAGAGCTCACAGAGCCAAGGGTTGAAGCCAACTTGGTCTTCCTCCTGTTTCTCTCTATTTCTCTTGATCTTCTCAGCCTCATTCTTGGCTTCCCCATTTCTCCTCGATCCCCTCTTCTTTGCCCATCTTACCAGTGCCTACTAACACCAAACATCTCTGAGTCCTCTGCTCTGCTTACTTGTAGGGCCAGAGGAAGCCAGCTACACATGTGCACATGGAATTATTTAAACAGCAATGTGAAGTCAGAAGTGCTTACAAATGTATGCTCACCTGTTGAAGAAAGCTCTGAAATAATTTACTCACTCTACAGGACAGCCAATGGTACTATCATTCAATGACAGTATCAACAGTAAATGTGCCACCATGAATCTGGCAAGTATGGGATTCATTAATTCAAATTCATCTTAATTACTATGAATGAGTTTATTTGCAATGTAATACTATTGTCAGTATTGTGAAGATGCAAAGGTTGATGCTGCTCACAATGTGGGCACAAACTACTGAGGAAAAGGAAGTACTAGAAGTGAAAAGGTAGTAAGTACCAAGGCTATGGGAATTCGGGTTCCTATGCAGACCATGTGACACTTCCATGCAAATATTGCATACAGTGAATGATTATGTCATGGTTTCTTTATAAAAGAAACAGTGACTCTAACAGGAGGCAGAGATAGAAGAAATAAAAGCACAAAGTATTGCCTTTGGTTGACAATCTCTCGTGGCTCATGAACCCAAGGGGAACTGACACTCTTATCTGAGACACCCCTACCTCTCAGACATAGAATATAGCTGGAGTTAAAGTAAAGAAGACAGAGGAAGCATATTCCACGAGCTAAGATACAAGTACCAGAGAGTCAAGCACAGGGTTTGGAAGAGCTATCCAGCCTGACTAAAGCAGGGGTCACTGAAGCTGGAAGGGTGAACCAGACCTCTCTGGGCCTAAAAGCTAGGCTGAGAAACCTATGCTTTGTTTTAAAAGAAACTCAGAGTCAATCCATGCATCTCTCTGACTGCCAAGCTGTGATAAATAGGCCAGGGCAATTATAAGTGCTTCTTACATAAGCATCCCACCTGCAAAGATGATGAGCACACGCAGAGCCATCATCTCCACTCTATGCAGCATCTCCACAGCTTCCGAGGGCTTCTCCAGCTGCCGGAAAACTTGACACATCTCAAAAACACTTAGGAAAAACAGATCCCGGTGTTATTGGATAAGTGTGTAACCCCCGAGCATGGCTACAGGGTAGAAGGGCTAAGTTATAGCCTGTTTAAGAGCTGTCTCCTCACTGTACATGTTTACTTTGTACAAGCAAAGGAAAAGTGGACGTAACTAGGCAGGACCTCTAGACAGCTTTCTGCTTCTGATTGTTGCTGCTAATAAGCTGAGTGTCTGTTTTTTCTTCTTGTTCCATTCTCTTGAGATGCAAGAGTTGATCACTGAAGTGGTTAAAATATGATGACGACCATTGAGAGAATAAAGCCTGTTCGTGTGTTAACAGTGTAGGAATATTGAGGCGATGGTGTTAAATGAATTAAGTCAGGGACAAAATGACAAATATCATATGTCATCATTTATGTGGAATCTAAAAAAGTTGGCCTCATAGAAGTTGAGAATAGAATGATGGTTCTAAAGACTAGGGTGATAATTAGAGAGAGGACTGAGTCCCAGTTAGGAGCAAAAAGTGTTAGTGTTCTATGACACAATGAAATGGATACAGTTAACAGTAACACCTTATAAATCTCAAAACAACTAGAAGAAATGGGTTTCAATGTTTGGAGGCTAGGTATTAACCATTTATATATATACATATACATATATGTATCAAAAATTATTTAGTTTCCATAAATATACCAAAATTTATATAGTAAATCTTTGGAATGTGTTGAGGTACACACCTACAATACCAGAACTCAGTAGACTGCCTCTTGAGATCATGGCTAGCCTGGGCTGTACAGCAAGAGCCTATCTCAAGAAAGAAAAGGATGAGAGAAAGATAGGAAGGAAGGAAGGAAGGAAGGAAGGAAGGAAGGAAGGAAGGAAGG